TCGGGGAGCAGGTGGCGGGGCCGAGGAGGAGGAGGAGAGGGGGGGAGCATGGAGGAGCGCTGGGGGCGCCGGTGCCCTGCCCGGGCCGGCCCCGTCCCGCCGGGGAGGAACGGGCTGTCACGGGCCGGTCGGCCCCGCCGGTTACGTACCTGAAGTAGTAGACATCGCTTTTGCCGGCGCTGAGGCCCGACTTGCGGATCACCTCTTCCTTCTTCCAGCCCGGGGGCAGCGCGGGGCAGTCCATCCTGCCCTGCTTCTCCATGCACCGGGCGCAGGGCCCGAGGCGGCGGCGCCGGATGAAGAAGAAGAAGAAGAAGAAGATGAGGATGAGGAGGGAGGACGAGCGGGGAAGGGGCTCGCCCGGCGCCCAGCCCCCCGGCGCTCGCAACAAGAGCTTTATTGTTCCCGGACACGGCCGGGGCCGGGACCCCCTGGCGATGGCGGCCGCGGCGCGCTGCTCGGCGCCAGGAGCGCGGGCTGCGCGCGCAGCCGGCGGAGCTCTCGCCCCGGCGCCCGCTTCCGCGACTCGAGCCCCGGAATCCGTGTCAGCGGCCCTTCGAGCTGGGGCGCGGCGCGGCCTAGAGGGGCCAGAGCGGCCAACCTTCCGCCGACCATAGAGAGAGCCGTAGGCGGGACAGAGCGGCAACCGGCGGGGACGGAGCGGGGAACGGACAGCGGGCTGCCATGGCCGGCGTTTTCGGACGTCCTGCGAGCGGGGGAGCTCTGCCGGGAGGGCTCGGGCTCTCCGGCGGAGGAGGAGGAGGAGGCGGCTGGAGGAAGCCCGGAGCGGAACCGCGGCGGCAGGTGCCGGGGCAAGGAGGAAAGCGTCCGTCACCTCCCGCTTGTCCCCCGGCGTGAGGGAGAGCGGTGCCGGGCTGGCGTTGGGACGGAGACGCCGACACACCTCCTGCCGCCCAAAACCCCAAATTCCCCCGTTTCCTCCTCCAAAAGCGTCCACGAACGAAACGCTTCCCCCCACACCCCTTCAGTTTATTCGTGTCCTCCACGCTCCCACCACCGGCGCCGCCTCCCCCTCGCCGGGCTGACAGCCCTCCACCGACCGGGGCCCGCCGGTGCTCTGCCGAACTCGGGGGCCCTTTCCCCGCAACACGACGCCGACTCCGCACCCCCAACTCCCCCCTGCCCCGGGTCGGGCACCCGGCAGTCCCGTAACGGAGCCACCGGAGGGCCAACCTCCTGACG